GCTCCCTGTGCTCCCAAACCCCCGACCGCCCGGTGGAACGCGCCACGCCGGCCCCCAGGGAGCTCCCTTTCAACCCAGCAGGGACGGACCTCGGAATCCCCCAGCAAAAGGATCCCGGACTGCGGCATTCGTACAGAACAGCCGAATTTAGAAGGCGGGGTTTTTTCCCCTCGAAGAATAGCCGCGAAAGGATTTGCCGCCCTGTGAAGCATCAGTTTTCCTGCTACTGAGCATCCTACTCAGAAGAAAAATGGGGAGTGCGGACCTGACCCACAGGACAGTCCCAGGTCAGCCAACAGGGCTGATGGCTCATGCCGAAGGGCTCTGGTTGCCCCAGCTTCATGGCCGGGGTTTGCACAGGTGAAAGCACCACTGTGCCCATCTGCACCCGTGTGGTCCCTCGCTCCGGGCAAGAACACGAAGCCACAGGGGGCCAGGAGGCTCCCCCAGCCGCTGGCAGCAGTAGGTGACAGCGAGGGACAGCTGAGTTTCCCCCCCAAGGGGGGAAACCTCTCTCCTAGAAAAGAGTCACTCCCTTTAGCTTAATTTAGTCAGAACTTAACTGCGTGAACAATATTGGTCTGGTGGGGCTCAGAAACACCTTTGTGACTCCAACAGACAAACTTCTTACCTGTGGGATCGTGCCCCACCCGCTGTGCATCGTGGCTGCACAAAGAGGATGTTCCCATGAGCACAGAAAAGGCTCCCCCCACAAACTGGGCTCTGATCCCTGGTAATTTTGTCTTAACCCAGTACAAGCCAGAAGCGCAAGAACAAGGACATAAACGGAGGGTATTTCCATGGGAACTCTGAATGTTTAATATGGAAAATTACAGCACATCAACATGGGTTTTGCGTGGCTGCGCATCTTCTGCGAGAACAGGCGCAGTGACACGCTGGCGCTCGGTCGCTGCCGGGAAGCCATTTCGTTTATACTTGGCATGGAGAATGACCGGGCAGGATGCAGTACTGTGAATCCAGGAACCGCAGACACGGGCTGCAGAAGCAGATGGACGATTGCGCCCGCCTTCACTTCAGCTTCTTAAAGAGTTTGTGAGCAACCTGAAAAGAGGCAAAGCATTAGGTAATGCATAGCTTAGGGCTGGAAATCAGCAGGGTGTTACCACCCACCCCCTGGTTTTCTGGGCCACTAACGCACATGGCCCCTCAGCCCTCCGCCTTCGGTGCTTTGCAACAAGAGTGTGGACCTGACTTGCAGGACAGTCCCAGGTCAGCCGACAGGGCTGATGGCTCATGCCGAAGGGCTCTGTTTGCCCCAGCTTCATGGCCGGGGTTTGCACAGGTGGAAGCACCACCATGCCTGTCTGCACCCGTGTGGTCCCTCGCTCCGGGCAAGAACACGAAGCCACCAGCGGCCCTCTTGTTGCTTTGCAACAAGTCATTCACAAAAACTAATGAGCTGAGATGTCTTACAAAGTCTCACCTCAGGTTAAAAAGGTTTAACTTTGAAATGGCAAACATAACACTGAAATAGCAAAGTGTCATTTGCAGGGCAAGAAATGACATGTTTGACTTATTTAATTCTTTAACAACCTACCGAATCCCAGCTGGAACAGTTGTAACCAAACACTGAACAGGAAAAAGCATCAAAGCTCACAGTTCTTCAGAGCTTACTGTGACTGAACAGCTACCACGTCTCACGCTTGCATCGCCTGCGCTCTCAGAAGCGCGGCCAAAGGCAGCTGTGCTCCCAGCACCAGCGGGGACGTCGCATCCGCGGGTGCCGCACTTACGCAGTGGTCCCTGGCATGCAGGAAGTCAAAAAGCTCCTCTGTGCACTGCTCCTCCGTCTGGGACCGGGAGGACACCC